TCAATTATTTTCTTTCATTTTTAATATCTGGTTTTTTTTTCAAAGCCCACAACAAATTAGTTTTCATCGTGACAATCTTCAATTTATTGTAAAATTGAAGATTTCTCTTTGCAAGTATGATATGTCGAACGCAATAGAGTACTCTCCTTAATTAATTGATTTCTCGCAAGATTAGAACTTCTATTAGTATATCTACATATCAGAAGTGTTTACGGGGTAATTTTTACCATTCGGCCCTGCTCTACTCGATTCTCAGAGCAGGGCAGGATACTCTGCTGAATCGATATACTGTCTATATTGTAATTTCCAATGTAATTCAAAAGAGAAAACATTTTCTAATTGTGTCGTAGAACATTGTTTTTCATTTACATCCATTTAATCATAATAGTAATTCATAGTTCAACTAATAAAATACATGAGCATCAAAAACAAAGGAAAGGAAATAATATAATATACATAACTTAGATTCAGAAGCTTTATACAATACATTTCGTTTACAGTTTTAATACGAAATGTATTGAAATTAGTTAGGAATACTGATTTCACTTTAGAATTACATTAATCAATACAAATTGCGATACTTTTATCTTAGGATCGTTATACAAAAATATTGCCTTTTTTTTCTTTAAATTCAAACAAGAGACATTGATCAAGTTCATCACATGCAAATCTGTGACAAAACGTACATAACATTCAAAACAGCTGATGAAAATTATTGATATGTTCAAAATCATTCTTTTTATTTTTAAGAACTATATATTCAAAAGAACGTCATCAAGTTGCTAATACTTTTGTTGAACTATTATTTTCAAGACTGAAATTTTGATCTTTTTTTTAAATGGCAGCGGTTTTTATTGTTTAGCATTATAAAACTTTGAAGATGAAGTGCAATCACTGTCAAGATGAGGTGAAGACGTATTTGATTTAGCAGTAAAATCAGGAGTAGATATTTGCCAAATATCATCATTCAAATCAGATGATATAGAACTGATAACTTAAATTTTTACTTTAATCTATTACAAACACTAGAATATAGAAATACAAACACAATGCTTTGATAGTGATTTTACTTATTCTTTAATTCTACCGTGTTCATTTAGACATATCAATTGGTACCGCTCTCGATAGTCTATTTTTGATTTTTCGCTCTTAAAGACTGAAAAACTCTTCTTTTCAGGATCAAACTTTGAAAAACCTGATTGTTCAGTTTGCAGGGTATAAGACCTTACCCTCCCGTGTGGATACCTCTGTTACATATATCAAACTATACTAAGTCTTCAACGGTTTTAAGCTGAAAAATCTCTTCTTAAATCACTAGATTTGTTTTGGTTTTTGAATGATATAATCGAAGACTCGCCGTCTTTTATTGCGGGACAGGATTTATTACTTTGAAACGTTAATATCAATATCAAGTGGATAATCAGCAATATATTGTAAAGAAATAATTTTCGACTTACGAGAAATATTTTCTTGTTCGTCATTAAATATACTGACACATTTCATACTTTTTGAAAAATTCAAATTCTTATTTTAATTTGAAAAAAATGTCCTCATATTTGAATTGTTGTAGCCATTAAAGCTGGTTGTTATCATGCTGGACTCTCAGCTATTTCTCGCACTCGAGTTCATGAAAAATGGCTTAAAAATGAAGTTCATATCATATGTGCAACAATAGCATTCGGTTGGTTTTTTAAAATATCTATCCTATTTATTTATCTATAAATTTTCTAGGAATGGGTATTGATAAACCTGATGTACGCTTTGTTATTCATCATTCATTAAGTAAATCTATTGAGAACTTTTATCAAGAAAGTGGTCGAGCTGGTCGTGATGATCAACAATCACATTGTATTCTTTTCTTTCGGTAAAATCAACTAAATTATAAAAGATCTATATATATATATATTTGTTTTCTGAATAGTTTTGGTGATATATTTCGTTTAGCACCAATGGCATTTTCAGATAAATCAGGTAATGGTCTTACAAATCTTTATTCAATGATATCATATTGTTTAAATGAATCTGAATGTCGTCGAAAATTAATTGCTAAACATTTTGATGAAGTATGGCAATCAAATGATTGTAATCAAATGTGTGATGTATGTACTCGACCATCAACATATATAACAAAAAGAAATTGTTGTCAAGAAGCATCAATTATAATTGATTATTTAGAAAAAAATAAAAAACAACGTTTAACACCATTAAAATTAATTGAACAAATATCTATAAAAACAATGATTAAAATTGATATTCAACGACTTATTTTACAATTAATTATTGATCAATATTTAAAAGAAGATTTTCATTTTACACCATATTCAACTGTTTGTTATGTTATACCAGGACCAAAAGCTTCATATGTTTATGATAGTGATTGTGAAATTATGTTAGATATGATTGAAAGTACAAAAAAACGATCATCAAATACAAAAAAAAATGATGAAAAACAAATTATTAAAAAGACTTCTATAACATCAATTCATCCCGGTAGGATCAATTTTTCATAATAAAAGACTTTCTTTTATAATTTTGATTAAAAGTTCCGATCATTAAATTATGAGAATGAGCATATTCAATATTCGATAGACTAAAATATTTCGAATATATTATGAATAATAAATTGTATAAATAACATACTTTTGTCTAGTAATGTACAGGGTATGCTTTTTTTCGTATCTTGTGCTATAAATAAGAGAAATTTTCTAACCCTTTCCATATTCTACCCTAGAAAACCTCTAACCTTATTCTATCTTTTCGAATAGACTGTACTTTTGTCTTTACACATACAGAATAAGATAAAACGATTTAAGTTTATTTATATAATCTTAAAACAAAAAACTTTGAATATTTTTGTTCGTTTTGAAAATCGGAGCTTTTAATCAGAATTATTTTTATCCTGATTTTCATATTTTCTAGAATCACGACCTAAATTACAATGGGCTACTAATATAGGTCCAAAAATAAAATCTGATTCTGGTAAAAAACGAACATTACAATATGATAATGACGATGATAATGATAGTATGGAACAAATTGAAAATACACCATTATGTAAACGAAAATCTTCTTTAATAGATAATGATAATGAAACAATAATATCTACTCAACCATCCGTAGTTGATGATGAAGAACTCGATTTTTTGTAAACTAATTCTTTTGTTGTTATTGTTGTTGTGTTTTTTTATTACATAAGTATACTCTGTATATATTCTAAAACGTCAGATAGATATGAGTTTAATTCTATTTAAAAAAAAAGAAAAAGTAAACATACATTTTCAATTTTCAGATGCCTATAGCAATGAATTTTGATTTATTAACAAATAATAATCATCAAGATCGTTGTGAACATATAAATGAATATGAAACAAGTCTTGAAATAAAACTATCAAAGCCACCATTATCAAATGGTACAAATCGACAATCAACATCATTTACTGTACCACCACCACCACTTGTCAAACCACGTATACGTCCAATAGTAAATCGTATAACACATAATATTGATTTAGAACAATTAAGTCGTTGTTCATTAACACATCAAATTAATTTACCTAAATTTGAAAATGAAAAATGGTTAGCAATATCTTCATCAAATGAATATATATTAGTTGGTGGTGGTAGTTCAAGTACATTACATCTTTTTGATTTACAAGGAAAACAAATACGTCTTATTGATATAAAAACATTTGCTGCATTTGATTTAGCATGGTCAAATGTTTTAAATGCTTTTTTAATTGCTGGTTATGATCGTTTACAAATGTATAATGTGGAAAAAGATCAATTGACACAAATAGAGAATATCAATTTAATTAATAAAAAAGATAATTATTTTTGGTCAATTGCATGTCATGGGTTAGTAATTTGTTTGAAATGAGTTCTTATTATCTCATGAAGCTTTTATTTTCAAATAATTGATTACCCACTTTTAACTGGAGACTATATGTATCATGTAGATTCTCATGAACTATGAATACCTTGAAAAGAATTTTACGATATTTTTTAATAAAATGCCATGGGTCTCCCTTAGGAATACTTGAAAAAATGATTTTCAAATTTCGATTCGAAACTTTGTATTGACACCAATCTTTGACAGAATAGACTATTATGAAAGTTTTAGATCTTTTTATTGTTCCTATCTCATGATACAGCTATGATAAAAGCATGCCTTTTACGCCGCTCATATACATCGCATATTCAAAGTTCTTATTTCAGTATAGAAACAAGGAAAAGATCTAAAACTTTTATAATAGATTATTCTCTCAAAGACCTGTTTCTATGCAAATTTTCGATTCAAAAATCATTTTCCAAGTATTCCTGAAAGGGAGGTCGGGAAAGCACGACATTTTATTAAAGAATATCGTAAAAATGTAGTGTCTCAACAGATATGAGCTAAAGACCTAATTTTTTTTCAAGTTATTCATATCTCATTGGCGTCTACATGATGTACATAGTCTCGACTCAAAAGCGATGAACCAATTGAAAGACTTCCTTTGTTAAAGTTCAGAACTTTTTTTTGAAAATTATTTTTGTTTTCTTTTTAGTAATGATATATTTATTGTTTTATCCGATGGTCTCGAATCTGTATGGCGTTTATCATTACCAAATTTTAAACGTATTCAAACATTATCTGGTAGTGAAATACGTGAAAGTAATACAGATGATCGAATATCATGTATACGTACAAATGGTTATTCAATTGGTATGACATTAAGACAACGTGATACATATCAATGGCGTGTTGATTTATTTGATTATGTTACAATGACACGTACACATCGTGGTTTAACAATTGGTTATGGTATTGGTGCATTTAATTTTGTTGAACGTTGTATGTTAGCACCGGTTGATGATCATCAATGGCTTATTATAGGTGGATGTAAAGTGACACCAAATGCATTAACATTAATGGATGATCGAACAGGTGAAATAAAACAAGTTGAACGACAATCTGATCAACAAGAAAAATTTATATCAAATATTTGTACTAGTGAAAATAGTAAACAACCACAGATAATTACTATGATTATTATAGATAATCAAGGTGGTCAACGTCAGATGCATATTATGCAGCAATAAGATTAAGATTATGATTTTCATTTCTTGTTTTGTTTGAAATATCGTTTTTATTTCGTTTTGTATTTTCTGGAAAGATCTTTTTTTTTGATAAAAAGTGTTCATAGATTACCAACTATATTAAACTTCTTTATATAAAGAATATTCTTCTAAAATATTTGACATATATAAATAGAGAGATATAAAAGAAAAAGTCAATTATTGTCAATTATACATTTCAAAAAGTTTGGTTCCTTTTCATCGACACATTGTATTCAATAGTATGTTATGAAGTGAAAAACACATATAACTTTATATTAGAGAAAATTAATTTAATAATAGAAATGAGAACATAATTCCATAGGTCATAAGATGGTGGCAATAAAATATTATTGTGATGTTTTACTAATCTTATTAACATATCCATTTAATGACAAAGAATCTTTTTCATATCAGTTCATTACATCAAGAATTTATTGATTTCGAAAAATAAATTTTTTATTTCGTGAAGACTTATTCATATTGTTGTCAAGTTGTTCCATCGTAGGCATGTTAAATGCATAATGTTTATTTAATTCATCAACCACTACATATAAGTTCTGAATTGCAAATGACAATATTTACATTAAGTCAGTGATGACAGTTCTTCAATACTTGCGTGTATATAGATGTAGATGTAGAAGTAGAGAAGCCCAATATCTACATGCACACTCGCTAATCGAAAGGATTTTTCTGGCCTTTCTACTGATCGTAATGTTCGTTTTAAAAACATCCTTACTGTTTTGTTTATTTCTTTCTCTCTAAATGTAAGATTTCTTCAGTAAAATCTTCTAAATTCTTCAGAAAAAAAAGCATCGATGAAACAGAAAGATACTAAAATTTAAATACATTTCTATTGGACTAAAGGGTGAGTCATCATATTTATTTATTTGGTTATGCATCAATGGATATCATGTATATACGCTTGCACATACATATACAAGTTTTATTATAAATCATGGGTGACAAAGATCAACAACAAGAATTATCTGCTGAACGTCGTACTGAATATGAAGAAGCATTTATATTATTTGATAAAGATTGTGATGGTTTATTAGATTCTTCTGAATTACCATTACTTTTACGTAGTCTTGGTCAATCAATAACTGCTACAGAAATAGCAAGTGTCCTTCAACAAGCTAATCTTGATCCACGTGGTAAATTTACATCATTAGATTTTTTAAATTTAATGGAACAACGAGCAAATATAATTAATAATGATACATTTGAAAATGAACAAGATGTACGTGATGCATTTCGTATGCTATTTGATTCAAAAGGAACAGGTACAGTAGCTGCAGATGATATTATGAATCTTTTACAAGTTTTTGGTGAAGGTGGAAATTTATCACAACAGCAAATATGGGAATTATTAGGTACAGCTGATAAAGATAATACAGGACGAATTAATTATGAAGAGTTTATTAAAGCAATGACTTCTAGTTAAAACTATTCAAGACTTTGTTAAGAGAAAAGGATTTAAAATAAAACTGTATTAAACTTTACTTTCACACTTGTCTAAACTGACGATTATGATTAATAGAATCATTCAATACTAAAATGTAAAATAGAGCTTAGATGAACATTCAATCAAATGTTTATTAACTTCTGATTTAATTCATTTTATTTTGAAAATCTTTATATCTATATCATATACAAAACTTTCACGTTTATCTCTGATGTGTTTTACAAAGATTTCAGTTTAATATACGTTTCTGAATTAACAAAATTCTTTTTTTTTAAAATTCTTTTCATATTTTAATGTGTATCACGACCAATATCTTCATACCAAATTGAATGATTTTCCTTAATATAATTTCCAAGAAGTTCTTGACATGCTTTCGAATCAAGTACATCAATCTGTACATGGTTTGTTTTAAGTATAGCTTCATCACCATGAAATGTTTTATTGTCACCAATTACTACTCGTGGAATACCATAAAGACGAATAGCACCTGAACACATTGCACATGGAGATAGTGTTGTATAAAGTGTACATTCTTTATAAAATGCTGCTGTTTGTCGTCCACCTGATTCAAGACAATCCATTTCAGCGTGTAAAATAACTGAATTACGTTGAATACGACGATTATGTCCACGAGCAATCACTTGATTATTTCGAACAAGAACACATCCAATTGGTATACCACCTTCAGCAAGACCAGCACGAGCCTCAGCTATAGCTTCGGCCATAAATGGTGCATGAGTAATAGGTGATACATGAGACATTGAAATACTTCCTGAGGTTGATCCTCGAGGATGAACTATAGTTGAACCAGCACGTGAAGTTTTACGTGTTGGAATAATAGATTGATCGTCAATAGGCAATGAACCACCAAAGATTGAATAAGCCATTATTTTTAATATAAAGAGATAAAATGACTATTAAATGAAACATCGTGCAAACGTTATTTTTATCTATAGATAAAAAAAAAGAAGAAGGTAGTCACATATAGCACATCTACTACAACCAATAGATAATTTTATCTCTCATGTGCTATACAATATTTGTGCAACAGGACTTTTTAAGTTATACTCCATAGACATATGTTGTCAACACTTAAATCATAGATAAATATAAAAGTCAAAAGATTTTTCTCGTTGAAAAAAAAACAAAAGAAAACTATTTCATCTTTTTTGATTTATAATCGTTTTAATTTCAACCAATTTAATATATGTAGAAATGAAATAAAAATGATCTACAACAGAATTAATTGCTCATTATGTCTCTTTTCGTACAATTCAATTCAACAAACACATGACATCCATCCATAACTTCGATTAGTATCTGTTTAAAACAATAAAGTAACTCTGACATTAGACGATTATCTTTCTTCCACGTAATTATTTTTCTTTGTTTTTATCAATATTTAACAAACGGAGTTATTTTAAACGATTATTACTCGTACTGAAATATTTGTTATTCTATAGAACAATTATTATTTTATTTCGATTAAAATTATATTTTATCTATAGTTTATTTCAGAAGAACAAAATTGTTTTATGATTTTAGAATTATATTCATTAACGTTCTATGTAAATACTGCTTTCTAGTTTTTACACTTATATTTTAAATGTAAAAGAAAAGTAATGGAAAAATGAAATGAATGAAAACAATTCTTTTTTATTATTTACTTTGTTCGATTGCTGCCATGAGAGTGTAGCATGCAAAGAGAGAGAAAGAATGTGTGTGTGTGTGTATGTCTATGAGAGTGCTGCAATCAAATGGCATGTGTCATTTATTATTTCGAGACAGTTAAATACGTACGTACATTTCTATCATGAATGGTAAGATAGTCATAACTAAATGTTTAATATAAAAAAAAAAAGAAAACCTATGAAATATGTATTATTGTAGAAGGAGCGGCTCTTCGAGTACTGTCATTTCTTAATGATTCAAGTCAACGTCATGTAGCTTCTTTAGTTAATGAAAAACGAAAAGTAACTGTGATCGGAGAAGAGCATGAACCAGATGAAATTGTATGTATTTTATTTCTGATTATATCTTTGAAATTTTCTGTTCTTTTTCCGTCGTCTACTCCAATCGATTTAAGGAAATAGAAGAACCATTACCGTCTGCTATCGATGAAGAAGCAGATCTTCTTACTCCAGAACAAATCAAGGTTAAAAAAAGAGAAACAGAGACTTCATTAATTGATAAAAAGAAATAATATTTATTTTTAGGAATTTTTTAAAACAGCTGAAGAAGGTACAATCGAAAGATTAGATGAACTCTTCGACACAACAGCAAATGCCGATCCTAATATGACACAAGTAAGCAAAGAAAATCATATTGAATTCAATTTTAACGAATTGACTAGTGTAAATACATTGTATCATAGTATATGGAATCTCTCCTAATGGCTGCTATTCGTGCTAAACGATATAAAATGGCTGAATATCTAATTGATCAATTAGGAATAAATGTTAATCATACAACTAATCTTCTTGAATTTCGTCCACAGACAAGAATTCCTGTTCGAGAACAAACAATATCATGTCGTGATTTAGCTTATAATAAAGGTATGATGGATCTTGTTGATTTAATTGATATAGTCAGTGATGAAGTAAAGCCAAATATAAAACGATATTTACAACGACGTTTAAAAACACGTCTTGATCAAATTCATCAATCCTATTTAAAACGTATGAAAGAACGTAATAATCGTTTAATAATTCCATCACAAGAAAAAGAAACAAACGTATTAGAAGAAAATGAACAAGAAAAAGAAAACGAAGAACCATTAAGTGCAAATATTATTGATGATATTAAGATATTTTCACTAGCACCTCCAATACCACCAGTTGTTCATCGTCCATATAAATCACATATTGAAGCAACAATGCAAAGTATTGAATCGAAAAATGATAAATCAATTGATGAATCAGGAAAAAAATTCTTTCGATTTTCTGGTTATACTCTTCATTATCGTCTTGTCGAAACAGGAAATAAGAATCAACAAAAAAAAGAACGATCTCGACCAAAAACAGGAATATTTTCTTTTCCAATTATTCCACCAACTTCTACACGAACATTACCACCACCATCCCTATCAAGGCCAACAACAACAGCAACAACAACTAATGTTAATCGTCGTTCAATTAGTGAAGTAAGCGCACGAATACCAATACGAGAAACACGAACATCTATATGTCGATCAGCTCGACATATAGCCACACCACGTGTCGCTCCTACAGTAACTACTGAAAGTAAACCAGAAATAACACCTAAAACAATAACTACGATTAATACTACTCAACGATTATTACCAAAACGAATTCGTCAAATTAATACAGATTATAATTACATTCCTCAACTACAAAATGCTGTGTACAATGATCCACGCCATTTTATGCCTGTAACATTGAAAACAACTTCTACTGGTTTACTATCTGATACTCGATTAATTAGAGATTAAAAGTATTTTTCTTCGAAATAAAACATATATATGTTCAATGTTTAATTCTTACAAACATTCAATATAGTTTGACTAAGTTTTTGAAAAAAAAAACGAACATGTTGTTATCAACGTAGAATGATGAAATAGTGTTACATCCAAATTATCACATCAAAAACAGTAATTTGATATTTCAAGTGAGAATTCCAATGTCAAAATTTCGCCTGTAGGCTTTACATCATTTTGTGAACAAGCAGATATTTTAAAAAAAACACATGCATAAAGAAAGTGATAATTTTTTGTTTTTACTCGAGAAGAATGCTTATAAATCACATATTTTTTCATTATAATTATGCAAAAGAATGTCTTTGAGATTCTAAAACGATTATAAAATTCATTGTTTTTGTATAAAATAAGAGTAAATTTCTTAAAACATTGATTGATTAATGTGCAGCTTTAATAATAAATTATTATAAAGTTTGTAGTCAATCATTTCTATGATGATGAAAAAATTTTAAGAACATGATTATATCATATTTTATTATTTTCTTTATTAATATTAACAAGTTACAATCATTGTTCAAAATAAAAAAAAATAAAAAGCATGCAGTAGATTATCAATGTTCATGGATTTTGTCATCATTCTGATCCATAACTGATTATAATGGTACTGATATTCTATCTATTATTCGTTGATATAAAGAAACATTACACTTTCAGTCCTTTTGAATGTCGTTTTTCAATAGTATCATACTCATAATTCTAGAGGTTAAGCAACCACTCAAAGTTAGAAACATATTTTCTTTAGAATTTTCATCATTTTTAAAATTAGATTTCGTTAATTACTTAATTCTTTATTTGTCTTTGTGTTATCATAGTTTAAACGAGTTTTGCGTATTTTTTACCAGTTAATTTCATACATGTACAAGGACAATAATAAATACGTGAAGGACAAATATTTTGTTTCATTTCGTATTTATCTATTTGTCGATGGGATCAACATTCGTCTTACTATTTTCGTATAACATTTCATCAGTTTAAATTACTTAAAGTTTGATAAAATAGGACTTAATACTGTTAGAAAGTTTTCTTCGTTATAATATAAGTTAACAATCTTAAACTGTGTAATTTTTTAATCCTAACTCAATGCAATAATCTTTCAGCGATTTTAAAAAAATTTCTCTCGTTCTATATAAGAACGAAGAATATGAAAACCGTTCCAAAACTTTTGGAATATTCTTTATAAGCTTTTATCATTGTTTTTTTTTGAATAGTTAAGTACAGAAAAAAAACTCAGATATCCTATAAACTTTCTATAAATTTATAGAATTTTGTTTTAAGATAAATAATTTATTCGTATGTATCATATTTAATTAGTTGATTTTAATGTGAAATAGATATACGTAATATATTATTATTTAATAACTATTCATCAATATGTTTTCCTTTTCTGCTAATTCATTATATTTAATTTTTACTGTATTTAAAATAAAATATTATATTTGTTGATTATTATCAATCTGATAATTTCTTTTTTTGATAATGTAACAAATGCGATAACAATTAGTAAAACGTTGTTATTGTTCACCAAATGGTAATGCTCGTAAACATCATTGTATTGATGAATTCAATCCATATTGATCACACGAGATGGTAAGTTCTTCCATTTCCAGGAAATTCAAATGAAATAGCTATGAGAAAAATTTCATAGAAATGTAATTTTATGCTTTGAGCAATAAGCGCAGAAAATTGATTTTAATATAAAAAGTATGTGTACATTTGAGTTTGAGTTGCATTGGACGAAGAAATTCATTTCTACGAGCAATGAATTTTCCGATTCATTTCAACTATAAAATAGCCACTGTCTTCCTTGAATCTTATGTTCAAAAATTAATTTTCGTTATACACCATTGAAATTTAATATAGAGTCTTGGAAAGACATAATGATGTTGAGAAATTTAAATTTTCTGTAAATTTAAATTT